GTCCAAACCAACCCAAAATACTCTTGCCTTATTCTTCGGTGAAACAGTTATAAAAAATTGTCTTACTAAACAACAGTGAGCATAGAAGCAACCTCGATGCACCCAATAATATGGCATCCGGGAACAGCAAGTGTTGCACGAGGATCCCAAGAACACGTCAAGTTCCATGCTACCCGCTGCCATCAAAAGAACGAAGGATAACTGTGCTAGCCTAGTTCATATTCAATGTAACGCTAACGGTACGGGATATAGCGTGGGTGAGCTGTAAAAATCTTGTACGGTTCGCACAGCACAACATACATGCAGCAGTTATTAATAATAAGAATCTTTATTTCAGGATTACCCAAAGGCTAACGCCTATCTGGAGGATCTCCTATTATTTTGATTGCGACGGTTAACGTCGATGGACGAGAGTCATAAAGCACAGTCCATGGGGGTTGACGTTTCTGGGCTTCCTTTCCCAAAGGAAAGTTTTATTTCTTCTCAAAAAAAGCAGAATCATGCTGATTATACCAGTCTGTTATGAAGACAAGGAAGCAGCCATGGACATTGTGCCATACTAAAGGAACGACAGGTAAAAGATAAAGCACTTCATCTGAAAACTCAAGGACTATCCATAAATATAGCAAATGATAATCCTAGCCTGGTAATGTCCAACTCCGTCATGTGAGCCATTCGGTGAGTTATGATGGGAAGCATAATGTTCGAAATGCTGAAATTTCAACAGTTGCAGTTGTGTTCGTCGCCACACAATGCCATCGCCAGTTCACTTTTGAAATGTAGCCATTTTTACGCTTGTGTCCCTGTACATGGCATGGAAGGCTGAGCAGATTCAACTCTTCCATCGCTTCCTGATCTGTACAGTAGTGCGGTTGCGTTCCCGTTCCTGACTCATCGGTCTCCGCTAACCAGCATCATGAGCACTCCAATGGTTCCCGCCGCTCCTTCCGTATCCTCCCAGCGCGCCCCGTCAAAATGTGAATTACTGTAGGCAACGGAGCCAGTGTATGATGAATGCGAATGCACTGTTTGATGATGCTCCAACAAATCCTTTCTAAGACTGAAACCCAGCCGGAGCCGCATCGTCGTCATTACCAGCTAATCATGGGGAGGTATAATGTGACTTTCCACCACTCCCTGATTCAATCATAGTTTGCGAGGCTGCGGCAAACTGCTTTCTCACTAGAGCCAGGCATTGGATACATAATGGCTTCAGTAAGGTTTACAATGCTATGTCTCTGGCCTAAGTCCAAGTCTAGATACAGCTGCTCAGAGTCAGGGCTGATGAGGTGTTCATATCGGAACAAGTGAGACTTCAACAGTAGCTAGTACACATCAGGCCTGAGGACTTCGCAGCGTTTCTCCAGCACACTTGTTCTCTCCTTCAACTCAGATACTACTTGAAGTACTACTAAAGGCCATCTGGCTCTCACACTCAGTCCTTCCACCCCTCATTTTCGTGGTTTGGGCTTCCATTCTTGACTCGGCAGGTTCCTGGCCTCTCCGCAGTCTGTCCTCAGGAGACTGGGGTCGCTCTGGAGCTAGTGCAGCCGAATCGAAGGGAATCGAGTTCTTTCTCAGACGTCCACAAACTTTCGTTGTGCTTGACTTCACTTCCACTGCGGGAAAGTAGTCACACTTCAGGACCACGACGTGCTTGTTGCAGCCTACACCAATGATACTAAAATAATATCCCCTCATTTTTCTGCCTCCCGGCCGGCCGGCTCCAAAAGGAACGTATGGAATGGGAGCCTCAGTTCCATCTCTCGTCTGCTAGTGCATTCATGAGCGTAGCAGCGCTTCGGCATGACGATACAAGCCGAATCAAAACAACTCTACTCTCTAGCCAAAAAAACTAACTCAGTGTTCGTCAGGCAAAAAGCGAAACTTCGAAAGTCACGAACTCAAAAGTTGGGGAAGTCAGAGTCAGAAGGTCCACTTGCCCCGTCTCGAACCCAGACAATCTTTGTGCAAGTCATTTAGAAAAGCGATCCTGTCAGCTTTTCTATTATTGTGTTCACATGGCAGAAAAAACGACATCGCTATGCTACGTAAGTTTCTACGTAAGGTGCTCGGTATTTCACTTAGGCTACGTAAGTCTCTACGTAAGGTGCTCGGTATTAGATCTATCTACCAACGCGTGGTAGCCGTGTGCTGTGCACGTGCACGGCAGACATTGTGTTCAGTGCATGCAGTCCGCGGATCCGTGTTCGGATGTGCATGCGCGAGGAACTTCCTTCTTTGGAACTGCTTCTTGCATGAGCTGTTTCGGATATTTCGTCTCATGGCCTGGCTTATTACTTTTCGGCGCTGCTGAGACCTCCTTTCGTGGAATATTACCCAATGACAGGTGAGTTGACCAGTTGCCTTCGATTCATTTGCTTGTGTTGACTCTTTCATTCAGGAAAAGTGTGCTGATTTTGGGGCGGAATGCAATAAATAATGGAAAAGTTGACAGGATCTCTTTTCTAAATTTTGCTCTTCTGCTGCCGAGCTGCGAGGCCTCCTTTTACGGAATACTCGATGACAGGTGATCTCTAAGTTGACCGGTTTCCTTCGATTCATTTGCTTATGTTCACCTTTCATTTACGGAAACGTGTGCTGATTTTATTCGGATTTAGATCCATTTTTATCTCTTTGCCCTTGTCTACAGTGTGCGAAGAACGCGAGTTCAACTTCTTGACGGTAAGGCTTATGTTAGATGTGTTGTCGAAATACTCATATTCATTGTACATTGGTACGTTACAAGTAAGGCACTGGTCAGTGGCATACTATCGTTGGCAGTTCCCAATCTGGAGGGAAAGGTTCAAGTACCAATTGACCGAGTTTGCAAAATAAATTCGCATATCAGGGGAAATCTCTATTGTGGAGAGGTTCAGTAACTTGTTTGTTTCATACGAAACAAGCCAATGGGTGCAGTCTCGTCTCGTGAAAATCTCGTACTTGTATGATTGGATTTGCTTACTCAAGTCTGGGCTGTTTGATTTGTGAATACCGCCGAGATTGCACTGCCCCAAATAAAGTTTCGTGCCGCCAAAGCAAGAATTACGATCTGCAATCTGTTTGTAGTACCTGTAAGAATGTGGAGTACATGTGTCGTACTTTCTCTGTTGCTGTTTCAGTTGCCGTCATGTAGAAAGGTTCAGTAGAGAGGTTCTGCAAAACGAAAATTCGAACGACGTTTCGCGACAGTCCTTGCGAAAGTGTGTGCGAATTCTTGCACGAACTTTGCGTTCTGCACATTTTCGTAGTTTGCGCGGGCCAAGTGCACGTACGCCATGACCCGATCTCACGAAATTTCCTACGACAGTTCATTTCGCGTTCCCTGCAAGTTTCGCGTCCAAAGGTGCGAAGTTTCGCACTTCATGATGTAGAGCGAAAGTTTCTACGCATTTTCGTTTTGCAGAATCTCTCCAGTGACTCAATTGTTTTGTACGAGACGAGTCAATGAGTCGGTGTGGCTTAGAATCTTTCGCTGTAGAAGAAATATATTCGTATGTCTATTGGAGATATAATTGTATTCTCTGGTTATAAAATAGGTTAAGCTCACAGAATAAATACCATCGGTCCCTTGGTGTTCGTCCTAAAGAGGTTCGGCTGGATATCATTCATACTCACCAAAAGATGTGTAAGATTTTATTATTGTGGAGTGCCTTGTTTATCTCTCAGTACCTCCAACCATAGCCTTGCCCCTTTTCTCCTCAGGATCAGTGTAGTTGTTGGAACGAGGTTTTGGACTCAGCAATGTATTCGTTTACATTTTAATACATGTTTATTGTTCCTCCTTTGCTGTGTTGTTTTAGACAATCGTGGACTAACAGTTTGAAGTCATTGAACTACTTCCAAAAGTTGTATCGACATCAACAGGATTACGATTTCAGTTTCAATATGATGCTGGATGACCTTATCACGATAACCCATGACTATAAACCATTATAAACACAGAATCAACAAAAACATCTGTGACACGCACCTGGCGCATGGCTACATTTCTCAAATAAATCTGATTGAGGGTGGAGAAATCTGAAAGGCAAGACAATTTTATGACAGAGTCATGAAATTCTGCAACAGCAACATGCACAGAATGACCTCCGTATAAAAAAAGTATCACCACCACTGCTCACATGTTTCCCCGCAGAAGAACATGCATTATGCTAGTGCCATTTTCTGCAAGAAAAGGCTTGCACATCAATGCGTATATATATTATGGTATTGATATGATGTGAAGGCCATCATTTACATATTGATATACATGTAGGGCATTCCATTGATTGGTGACAGAAAAAACAAAAGAAATTATAGCAATAAAAACTGCTTTATGGCAGTTTTCTAAAAAAAGTTATTGTGTTCTAGTCCATGGACCCCGTCTAAAAAGTAAGAAATTAACGAAATGTGATAGCTGAAAATTAAAATTTCACACAAAACCTCACAATAATCACACACAGAATGAAAAGCTACATGCAGAAGACCTTTTCCCCTCGTGATCCTCTTTCCTATGCATGCATGTTGCCAATTGTTGGTGCAGTACAAGTTTAGTGTTGAAAGCAGCATTTCAAGTGTTGTGATTATTGTGAGGTTTTGTGTGAAATTTTAATTTTCAGCTATCACATTTCGTTAATTTCTTACTTTTTAGACGGGGTCCATGGACTAGAACACAATAACTTTTTTTAGAAAACTGCCATAAAGCAGTTTTTATTGCTATAATCTATTATGCATCGTCATTCTGGCTCCATGGCGCACCGTAGACCTACTCCGTACTCCGTAGTCTTGCAGGTGTTCATGTTGTTCCAGGCAGTGCCAGTAGCTCTAACACGGACCACGGACAGGTGATCGATAGAGTGCAGCATCACGTGAATGTCCCCGTCAAGTGCCAGCGTCTGAAAATCATGTGATGTGCATGCGATATCGAGAAGCGGATTGCCCAGTTGCTGGGTCCAGTAGATCAACGTAGCTGCCGGTTAGGTAAGCTAGCGGACGAGCAGCCAAAGCACATCCACCCACCGAAGATTTGGGGTTGAAGGCACAGAAGAAGGCAAGAAAACGATCAGTCCTTTAGTGGTGTTTGGTAGGAAGCAACGACTGAAGTTCCCAATCATGATTCGCTGGTTGGCTGTTCTCGCTGTGGTGGTGGCCGTAGCTGCCCAGAGACCAGAGGTTTGTGGTAAGTGGACAATGTGACCTAATTTTATTCCCGTGTCCGAGAGTTGCCTGGTGTTCGGGAAAAACCGTGAATTGCCGTTAGTGAAGCGAGGCATTTGGGAGGAAAATAGGTGTGTGAGGGTCGTGTCCAAACCCAACACGAGACACATAGGAAAGGTCTTTGAATGCGCTCAGATGCCATGCAAAAGACACCTTACACAGTGTGTTGGCAGGGCTGCCGGCCAGGAGAGAACCCCGGACTCATGGAGAAAGGTTTTGGATTGACCGACAGAGCTGAGGAATCTTGATCGGACTGGTGGAGTAGCTAATAGCCGGAGTGCATATACCGTTACTAGTACATGATTGGAGGCTAAATCTACCATTGGTCCATGACCTACACAACATACCCAATACTGGCTGTGTTGCATTGTTGTTATATATAAATGGACCTTCGATGTAATGGTGTAGTCGTGTCAGTTTTATCAGTCTGGGTCATGGTACAGCTAGTACAGTGATGCAGCACATTGTTAAAAAATGATGCATGCAGGATAAAAGGAAGTCTGAAGAGAATGTTTAACGGTCTCTGCTGGGATGGCAGCTACACCATAGCTCAGTGGTTAGAGCACCGCTGGCTTCAAGCGAAGATCCCTGGTTCGAGTCCTGGTGGTGGAAGTCAATGTTTTCTTCAGACCTTTCCCTTTTCCATTCCCTCAACTAGTGGATGATAAAATATAAAATGACGTAACTGTATATGATCTGGTTACTTTGGTGGACAGTTAGTCATAACTCGTAACATTTTGTCTTTCTCCTTTTTTAATATGTGTAGAAGTCAAACTCTATCGATCTGCTCCATTGTTGATGTTCCTCTGCTTTCAGACTCTCCAGCCCAATGGAGTGCCAACATGGTCATCTTCGACCCAGTCGAGGGCCATGAGTTTGCAATGGAGGCCAAGTACTATTACGACAAGACTGGTTTGCGAAAAGCACGCATTGAGCAGATCGACCCAGGCCGCAACACCACCCACCGTTACGTACATGTTATTGAGCTGTTCGCTGAGGTAAGCCTCATGTGTTCGATATTTCAATCTATCCGTCATCCTCACATTCAGTTTGTTTCCTGTCAAGACTCTGTTAAAAATCCAAAATGAGAAGATGGCCTGCATAATGTCTTTATGGCAAGCATACTTGATTAACCCGCAGTCTTGGGCTAATAGTGTCTATATAGAGTATTGTTATTATGGATTCGATTTGTGTATGCATTGGAATAGGGTGCAATATGGAGCTTAGGTTATTATAACCATGTGCTTACGAGCGTATAGGTATAGAGTCAGGTACCAAGTTAGTCCTCTGTGTTCACTACCAAGCTGTTACCTGCCCAATATACAGGGCATGTACTGTTCTGGCCCGTGAACCCCATCCCACCCTCCCCCTCCCCTCCCCCCCCCCCCTTGAATGAAGCAGCGCCGGGTACGAGTAGGCACACCCCAGTGCCTGTAGTGCTAGAGCCGTGCTGTGCCCGATGCTATCGTATTTGGGGGGGGGGGGGGGGGGGTTGCACTGGCCAGTACAGTAACATACCGGTGCCTCTTTTTGTGCGCTATCATTATTTTCTTGCATAACAGCACAAATCATACTAGATTGTCATAACCTGCGAGTGAAGTGTATGAGCGCTTTGAGTGGGTGTAATCCCATAGCTCTCTGTGCTCGTCAGTCCAAGCGGTTAAAACTACTTGAGTACTCACTAACTGTTGCATATGCTGCTCATATTCTCATATTCCTCTTTTGTGTATTTGCATGTCCTGCTTCTTAGCACAAAGCATATTACATTGATCTCGGCACCAGAGATTGTGTGGAGAGGTCTTTGGACCGTCCTGGTTCTCTTGATGGCTTCCATCCCCATGATGTTCCCGCTGAGGCATCCTTCCGCGGCCTCTTCTACATTGGATCTGATGCTGTGTCCGAGGTAAACATTCGCGGCATTCTGTCATGGTATTACATTGCAGTCTGCACTTTTCAAGCGGTGCATGCACTTTTCATCATCACATTATAAATTTCTCCAACGTAGTGATGCATTTTCACTTGATCTCTTCAAGTTTTGACGGGATTGTGACAGTGGTAGCCCACGCATAGAAGATATTGGTGTCAGTGGTTAATCAGTGATTGTGTACTGTACTCTCACTACCTGTGCAATATCAGGGCCATGTCGAGGCCTCTGCCTGGGATTACTACTTCTCGGACCGTGGATATTTCTGGCACGGAACCTTCACCACCCACGGCTGCATTCCACTGAGGAGCGATGGTTTCAATCACACCACATTTGGTGCCAGATTCGAAGAGTAAGTCGATAAAGCATAACGATTAAAGAACCCTGGAAGTGCACAAACACCAACCCTCTTGTGTGGCTAGGGCGTGGCGATATGCAATGTGACGTGTTTCACCTTGCCATCTGCTCTGCTTGAAGTAATGACACGGGCATGGGAGCTGAATGTTTACACCATTCATGGAGGCTTACTAAAATGTTGATGGACCCCACAAAATTGCATCCTCAAACGTAGGCTTGACAAAGGAAAAACCAGGCAATTGGCTATATCGATTAGTGGAAGACAAGCTACATGTAGTTGTTTTACTTGTTTACGGCTGCTTCGTTACATCTGTGATATGATACTGCGTATACCTAACACAATACGCACACCTTACCATGCTCTTCTGCTGCACATCTTTTCACGTAGGTTCTTTGATGTCGTGCCTGGAATCAGCGACCCCAACGTGTTTGTCCCACCAAGCAACTGCCATCCGGAGAAGCACTAAATGAAAGGAACTTTAGTCTCGGTCATCTAGGCACGCTTCTGCAGTCTGAACAATTCACTATGGGTTGGAGATCAATTGTGATGGGGATGCCACCCATTGACTTCAGCCATGGCTGATGGTTTTGCTGTGAACATCATCAATTATTTTCTATTACTATTTTTGTCAGTATTGCTGTCACCAGATTCACATAGACCATCCTACACATCATCCATCTATCTCTTTCTTTGGTCCTATTGCCGGTGAAAATACAATGTCTCTTTGCACCGAAGTACATGTTGCACTCTGTTGCAATCTATACCTTTTAAGTGGGCATGGGAAGTTGATGGCTCCGCATTGGAGTAGGGGTGCCTTGCGAGGAGGCTCTGCTGTTGCTGTGCATGCATCCGGCTCACGGTTACGTTTCCTTCTACTGGAATGTTCCATTCCGTGGCCAATTGCGTTTTCTTCAATGGTATGATAGGGCAGAGCTACAGGCAGGTAAAACCTTGCTCCAATGACCACCTATTGGACCAGTCTATCGGGGCCTGTAAATGAAGGTGGTCTCCGAAACCAGGGTGACCCTACAAGCACATTAATTTTGGTGCCAATGAATAGTGATCTTGTGGTGGTTGCTAATACCAGATAGTTATTGAAGCCAGGCGGTCTCTTGACCGTGTCTGTGTCTTGCTTGTATTCAAATTACACTGTAACTGCCACTAGCACAGCATCAAATGTGCCTTCACCGTCACCCTACAGCCACTGCCACTACAGCTGCAACAACGCCAGCATTTTCAAGAACCAAAATAATAATGGTGGACATCACGCAACTGCATTGTAAATAAAGGGGGGGGGGGGTTGTCAACTGGCAACTGCTCTATTCAGTTGCTATTCACTCTTGGCGCATGTGCTGGATGAAAAATTCTTTTATGAGTGACGTTGAACAAATTATGACGTTTCGGACCAGTCACCCATCGTCAGATATCATGAATATCAGATATAATGGAAAAGTAAAACAAAACGAAATAATAAAGCGGTTTGAAAAAAGCAAACAGGCGTTCCGGAGAAAGGAGATTTAACAATGCGATGAATAAAACAATAGATGTAACAATCCTGAAATGAAAAATGTATAAATATGTGATTTTGAAAATAGCACTATCCTTTATTACGATGAAATATACGCCTCCAATCATGGGCAGAAATGAGCACACCATCTGCTCAGCAGAGGGACTTTTAAAATAATTTTGATGATATGTAATGACTGAGCATTGACAGTGTGTTGTCCCCCGGCAAACACAAGGTGAACACGCAACACATAGGCCATTGAGGCTGCTTGAGAGCACGCGGCACAGTACTGCTAGGTGGAAGTAGTTGTTTTAACTTCATAGAAAACATGTGTGTATGTGTGTGTGTGTTTTAGTGAAGTCGCTCAAGGTCCAACAAATAGGTTCTTACATTCTTCCTTTAGAATTATACATTAAATTAAATATTTTGCTTCAAAAGATAACCGTGAGTTTGACTTTACTTTAGAAATCCTTAGCATTAGAAATTTGGGCCAGTAGGTTAATCAAAACAAGGAAAACTCATATGAAATGGTTCAAGTGAGGCTCATCATCATCATTTAATTGTTCAGAAATAGCAGTACCGTCATTGTTCTCCTTGTATCCATCAAGTTCTTCATTACACAATTGTGGAGAATGATCGGCATCTTGGTAACGACTCAAGGCTGTCCACCGATGTCAGGTAGATACTCTCGGTCGGTTCTCGGCGTTGTTGTTGCTGTTGGTGGTGGTGGCTTGCCCGTGCAGCACGGGCCACTCTTGTAGACGTGCCCGGCATGGCAGGCGATGGGAGCACACGCATGGAGTGAGGTCGTAGGCGAGGAGGTGGCAGTTCGACACCAGGATTGCACAGCACAATGTCATCATACGCGTGATTCTTGCCTATCTCGCTGTAGACATGAAAGTTGGTTGGGCAGCTGCCGTGCCGTGTGACATTTGCAGCTCTCGGCGGTGATGGCGTGTTGGAAAACCGCTGGGGAGAATCTCCTTCACTGATATCACTCAGAACATCCATCAGTTCATTCAGCTCACCATACAGCAAGATTAGATCATCGGTAGATGACACTGAGTTTGTCGAATTTTTTCTTGGAGCATGGCTGGCCATGAAGTGGAGGATCTCCTTGACGAGGTCATTGACTCCAGGTCGAGCACTGGCAGGAACCATCCAGCACCTCTGCATCAAGTCAAACGCATACTCCGGACAGCGGTGTGGCTGGCCAGGATGGAACTGTTCCCGTAGCTCCACCAGCAGCTCAATGTTGGTGTAGTCGTGGTACGGCTGCTGACCCAGGCTGAACACTTCCCACATGAGCACGCCAAACGACCACATGTCGCTTGAAGTGGTGAACTTGCCATCGAATAAAGCCTCCGGGGCCATCCAGCGCAGTGGTATCAGCGAAGTCTCAGGGCCTGAGCTGTAGTAGTCCTCACAGTATAAACCTTTTAGGACAGCAGGCCATACAACACAAGTAGAACAATCATACACATGTCACTAGCCGTTCTTTGTGGTTCGACCAAAGTGTTGCCGCTTGGAAGGTTTTCTCTTTACTCTTTATCGAAACTCTTCATTCAACCCAGGGCCGTGTGTGTTGGCTGGTCTGGCACGAGATAGTGTGCGGGGGTTGTTCTAGGGAGAGAGAGTGTCAGATTGTTTGTTGTTTGTAGTGTGACTATTACAAGTACTACAGCACCTGGCATGTACCCCGCATGGGGCACGGGGGGGGGGGGGGGGGCACGGGGGACACCCTAAAATGTTTGACCTACATGTTGGTTCACCATGCACCGATAGTGATCATGAATGACATGCACCAGCCATCCCACACATATGTGGCCGTGCACACCCCCCCCCCCCCCCCCCCCCGCCTAAAAGGGGGACCAGCTACGCTTCTGAGTACTCACCTTGGTTCAGTCCAAAGTCAGCCAGTTTGACTTCCATATTGCCACCAACCAGGAAGTTCCTGGCTGCTATGTCTCCGTGCACAAAGCAATTCTTTCCCAGATACTGCAGGGCACTGGCTGCCTGATAGACTATATACAGCTGCTGTGCGAGGCTGACTCGGGTGCAAGACGACATGGGCGTATCGCGGCATGATGCCAAGAATGCCTTCAAGTCACCCTGGTGACGACGACAACAAGGGAAGAGAGAAGACACTGGTGTTGTTGACTAGACCTGCGCAGAAATACTGGCACTGTATGTGTGGTCATAATCTTCCATTGGATATTACAGACACTTGCATGAACAGAATTGAAAAGGCGTAAATTCATGCAGATTGAAATACCAGCACTGGCAGCAGCAGATGCATCATCATGCGACAGATAGAGGCAAAGACAAGGTTATGGAATGCTGGTCTCTGCCAACATGGACTTCTCTAGTGTGGCGCATACACCTCAGATATTTATCAATTCACAGATCCGAGGGTCCAAGGGTCTACAGATCCAAGGGTCCAAGAGTCCACAGATCCAAGGGTCCAAGAGTCCACAGATCCAATGGTCCAAGAGTCCAGGTCCAAGGGTCCACGCACCCATGGACCCACGGTCCCACATACCCATGGATCCACGGATCCATAGAGTTTTCATATTTGTGTTCTTATAGAGATAACAGCAACACAACAACACAACAACAATGCCAACAACCACCACATTAGAATGCTCACCTTAGCCATATTTTCCAGCACTATCATCTGCGGAACATCAGCTGTGCACAGCCCAACCATCTCCACGATATTCTTATGCTGGAACGTTTTCAGTGCGTCGATTTCCAGTAGCATTTGTGCCGTACCTTCACCTTCAGCCGTGCGATGTAACTGCTTGATGATCACTTCGGTTTTGATTGGCGGCGATGCCCTGTCTGACTGCGGACCGGCTTCACTCAGCTTTGCAACGTACATTGTGATGAGGTTTCCCACGCCCATGCCTCGGTGCTGACGTATTCGACTTCTCTCAATCTGCTGCGAGGTGTAGCTGGCGAGCTGTTCGAACTGCTCCGTCTGGTCTTTGCTCTCGAGGAGTCCACGGCAGGACTGGTACATGCTGTACGTATGCAGCGGTACTAGGTTAACTGTACTGAGGCGCATGCTTGTTCTCGACGTGTCACCGCCACCGCCACCGCCATCACCACGCTTGTGGCCTCGTACTCGCCAGTAGATGCTCTCCTTGTGACGCACCAGCAAGGTGATTATGGCCAAGAGGGCAATGAGCACAGGTAGCAACCCTATTGAGAACCACACCCATCCTGGCATTCCTCCTGCACACAGACACACAACGTTCAGCAGCAGTGCACATTGCGGCAACTGGTAACCACAGCCCACGATAGAGAAAAATACTGGTGTGACACAAAATGTGTGCCCGGACACAATTGTGAAATGGGACTGGTAAGTTTTTCCTCCAGTGCAAACGTAGATACAGGGATAGATGAAAGCTGATTCCAAGACATAGCATTGAGCAGCCCAGTACATGTACCAGTTTTAGCAATCCTCACTGTAGAACAGGAGACATCATTATGCGGAATCACAGTGACTAGTACCGCACAGGAGAGATTTGTCTGCATACACTATGGTAGCCAACAAAGATAATTATGCACAGTAACAGATTATGCTTACCAGCTGATGTTGCCTCGGTATCTGCATCTTCAGTACTTGAACCTAAGCCAGCGCAAAAAGAATAAATAGCGTTACATGAGCAACTGTCAAATTGACTTCTTTGATCACGCCTGCACAAGCTCTACCCAAACGAGAATTTTCTTTTAAAGGTAATCCACAAGTTATTGTCAATTTCCAATCAGTCGGCAGGAAGTGAAAGCTCCCTGCCACCAGCACTAGAAGGAAACCTCTTGCTGTTGATAGTAATATTCCCATGATTCCACTTACCATCCACATGCACTGTGCACGGGGAACTGGCTTTACCCACACCAACACGGGTAGCGCCAGCCACCGTAAAGCTGTACTGTCCGGGCAGGAACAGACTGTCCAGCAGGATATTCTCCTCGTGTGCCGACACGTTGATCATGGAAAACGCCGCACTGGTGCTGTTCATGACTCCGTAGCTGATGACGTAGGCGACAAGGTCACCGTTTGCCTTGCCGTATGGTATCTTTGACCAGGTCAAATTGACTATGGATGACTCAGTGGTGACTTTGTGTGACTCACATAGCAGGCTCGGTCCTTGAGACGGTACTGCGAGCAGTCAAGACAGTACACAAACTCAACACATCAGCGAAAGTGACGGTAATCGCAATGATCAAGAACACACACAAGATCTGAGGAGCAACTGGGAAACGTATGTTGACTGAAAGGAAATCCACGTGGCACAGCAACAGTCATTGACAGTCTTACTGATCAAGCACACAGGAAATACATTGTAGTTTGTAAAGAGAAATAACATGCTTACCACTCTCCAGGGTGTTTACCTCCACACTAGCGTTTGCCTGGCCGTACGCCGTAAGCAGCTTCACCACAACTCGATAGCGAGTTCTGGCATTCAGCTGCGTCCAAGTGTGTCGATAGCGCCGCGGAATTGTGTCAATAAATGGTATATCCACAATGCTGACCTCTGGCTTGATATCCAGTGCGGGTAGTGGCAGTGGTATTAGCGTAGCTTGAAGTGATTTGATCTTGCTGTTCGGATACTGTAGCCATTCTATATCAACTGCTGTGCTGTTGAATTGACGGACTTGCAGCGACTGAATCTCCGGTTCTACAATTTTAAAGGACAATATGAGATCCAGATGTGCAGTGAGAAACCCTCTATCATGAAAAACAGCAACACAAATGCTCCACGGAATTTTGCAACATTGCAAATGTATGATGATCCACAGATAGGAACAGCAGTGAAATCCGAAACAAGATAATAATATATTGTTTCCGTACTAAGAAATCATTTCTCTACACAGTCCAAACACTCGCACATGGTTTCTCACAGTCCAAACACTCGCACATGGTTTCTCACAGTCCAAACACTCGCACACTCGCACATGGGGTTTCTCTGCTGGAACGGCTACTTTAAAAAAGATTCACGAAATTGTCAGGCCTTGTCTGATAGTTTGATGAATTTAAAGTGATGTTATCAGCAGAGAGACCGTGCGTGTGTGTGTGTGGGGGGGGGGGGTGTATGGGTGTGTGGGGGTGTGTGTGTGGGTGTTCCGACTGAGTCGAGTAATGTGTAAAATGGAATTTGCAAATCCTTCGAAACTTTTTACCAAGAAATCAGCCAGAAATAATGCCTTCCAAGCAGGGTACATGTGCCGGGATTCACCATTCACCAATCACCGGGTGGGGGGGGGGGGGGCACAACCACTCAATAGAGGTGAGAACCTTGTACTCACCATCTTCCATGGTCTTGATGAAAAGCCAGGCTGAGCTAGGGCTATCACCGCTCTCAGTTCGCACCACCACGTCGACAGCATACTGCATGTTGGGTAATAGGTCCTCGAGTGTTGCCGTGTGAACACGACGATGTACGGACACAGTCTTTGCCTCCAGAAAAGACGCTCCGACAACCGATCGCCGATCTCTGCTAGAGGCTGAGACATTGGGGGCATTCTCTATGCGGTAACGTACTAGATATTCTAGAATGTAACCTGTTATTTCAGTGAGATGCAGTGGCAACCATGACAGCTCGGCCTGGCGTGATGAAACTGCAACAACTTGAATATCGTGCACACTCGTCGATGGAGCTGAAATAGCAAGAAGGATAGGCAGTTCCCTTACAATCAGGCATGGAAAATCATAGTAACATAGAGGTTCCGTGACATGTGCACCCCATAAGACTTACTGTCACATGCAGGCTTGTAAATGTGTTGTGCCGGGCCTGGGCGCACTAGGATACAAACCAAGCAGTTGTTAGTCTACAAGACAAGTTGTAGAATTCTGCCAAAAACTCTAGCAGTAGGGCCAGCACAAGTAGCGGGAGCGACAGCATTGGCACTGGCAGCAGCAGCAGAGGCAGTAGCAGAGGCAGTAGCTGTAATGGCACGTGTAGGTGGTGGGTAGGTGGTGGGGGGGGGGGGGGGCAGCAGACTCTGAATCATTATCCCTGCGGTCTCCCGACACACCATCACAACATACCTGATTCTCCCGTACACACGAGTGCTTGTGTCGTTGCAACGTAGCGATAGTCTGGCTTCTCAGACTCGCCGCCACTTTTCAGCATCCTGGCAATCTCCACCGTGTACTTGCTATACGGACGAAGACCTGGGCATTGCACAACAGCAACGGTAGTTATGTTACAGCAATGCAGAGATCAGAAAAACACCACAGTCCATTCATCTAAAATAGCTGGATTTTGAAAGGCCGATCTTGGCCGAATTCAGGCTCAAAAAGTAGACAAACCGGCCCCACCTTAAACTTGAAAAATCTGGGTTAGGGATCTGCTTCTCCATGCATTTTTCCATGGCATACCTGTCCCAATTTTGAAAAGTCTGGCTGAATTTCAATTCCCTGTCCTTGGACTTTTCTGGCCTCAGTCAGGTAAGGAACAATTGCATGGGTCTCGCAATGCTGGATGTACTGTTGTTTTCACAATATCTACAACTTTACCGTGATGGGACACAGCAAAAGGTCTGGATGCCAGTTTCCAATGAATGGACAGTGAACAATCAATCAAACCAATGTACATTTGAAATGACATAAGAGCATCTGTAATCCACCCTTATCAACAGTATTACTGTGCAGTGTACAATACAGTCTATGTGCATAAGATAGCAGTCACACCTTTGAGCATACAGGGATGCCCAACCTCCAGACACGGCTAGCCATAAAATATTACATGTAAATTATGATTTATGTAAAGAACATGACCTAACTGAGAAGAAGTAGCGACAACATGGCCTAACAACATCACCTCCACGATCACCAATTTGGGTTCCGACCAGCTCGTTCCACGACACAACTGCTCACACTTGCTGTAAATGATTGGAAACTGGCCCAGGACCGCGGAGAGACTACCAGTGTAGCCTTTGTCGACCTCAGCAAGGCGTTTGATCGCGTCCAGCATCAACAGTTACTCGTTGCGCTCCATGGCATGGGTGTTCATGCAAGCGCCCTGCGTTGGTTTGCGTCGTACCTCGCCGGGAGATCTCAGCGTATCGTCACGCAAGCCAGCCAGTCTTCAAGTCTTGCAGTGTTTCGAGGAGTTCCTCAGGGAAGTATTTTAGGCCCTACCCTTTTTAATGTCTACCTGAGGGACCTTCCCCGGCTTGCGGAGACAGCGGGTTCAAAATTACTGATGTTCGCAGATGACAAGACAGTCTACTCTAGTGATCCGTCGAAGGCGCGTTCCGAAGCCAAGTTGTCATCAGCACTGGAGATACTAAACAACCACCTTGGCTCCCTTGGCATGCAGATAAATACCGACAAAACCGTCGTCATGCAAATCCATCCCAAACGTGCCACAGGGAGTCAGCAACAACCAAGGCAACAACTGCAAATCACCTTGTCAAATGTTACGCTAGGGGAAGTGGAAAGCACCAGATGCCTAGGAGTCGTTGTTGACAATAAGCTGTCCTTTGACCAACACATTAACAATGTCGTCCAGAAAGCCTCACGGAAGATTGGTGTACTGCGCCGATCTTTCCGCCAGATGAACCTGGTTGCCCGCCGTACTTTCGTTGTTGGTGTTATTCAGCCTGATCTAGAATATGCTCTCCCTGTACACCTTTCGTTTATATCCGCTAAAAATAGAAACAAGCTAGCCTCACTCCTCCGGCGCGCTGTACGAGTTGCTTGTGGCGCATCACCCCAAGCTAATATCACGCCACTTCTTCACCACCTCAATGTTTCCTCTTTCCAATATCGATCAGCATTTTTGTTCCTTGTATTCATTTTCCACTGTTACTGTATTAAGCTGGCTGTTTGCTTGCAGTCCCTCTTTCCCATCTGTACGTCTACCCGAACTACTCGCGGCTTAACAACTCATAACATGAGTATCAATCGCTATATCTGTGTCTGCTGTGGGCTTTCTGTCCTTTTCAAGTAAATCGGCTCTTGTTTGGAATTATTTACCAGACGACCTGAAGTCCTGCACTACTATCGCAGATTTCCGCGTCAAATTGGCTATTTGGCTAAAAGACAGCTTAACTCTTAATCATTGTTGTGATTTGCTTTCAAGCAATGTGCATAATCAGTAAATTGATGTTGCTGTTTTTGTTTTGTTTTTTTTGGGTTTCCCGTTCTCGGGGCCTTCTATTCGGTACTCTTTGTAGTTGTACTTCTGTACTGTTGAGCTATCCGAATTCAAATAAACACGAAAAAAACTAAAAAAACTTAAAATTAAATATGGGGCATGCTACTACATGTACATGTACATGCAATGATCACAAGTCAAGCACTCTCCTCCCAGTTGAACCTCATCGCTCACTTACCGTCCAGCTCTATACTGACAACATCACCATAGTCGGTATCATCATTATGCACCTCACTTCGATTCAGTGGTGGTACATTGGAGGGTGAGACGAGGTCGTTGCAGCGGCCATGTAGCATAGCCCGAACGGTGTAGAGCAGCATGGAGTTGTCACGTTCTACGCTTGCTACGGCGCTGTCGTGCCAAGTCACGTTCAGGCCTCGGCCATCGTCGCTTGTCATTATCCCATCGATACTCAGCTCCGGATCTGTGCACGGGAATGCAGCAAGGCCACACACGGAAATCGCAATGGGGGAAAGTGTCTAATGAAATACCTGCTTTTTCCTTTTCACAGACTTGCATTACATTTCTTCTTGTACTGGGGTTTTGTCAGTTGGTAGTTGAAAGAAACCAAGCATATGACAGAGTACACCTTATAACAACCCTTGGCAAGGTGATGAATGACAGAACTGTCTAAACTGGGGAATTCCCTGATCACCACCATGCATGATACGCCCGTATATAAATCAATCTCCGTATGAATTTACAAGAGTGTGAGTAGCAAGAAGCTGATTTCCCCGCATCCCGCACTGCATTATTCGAATATTCTGTCCATTCTTCAGGGAAGTGCGCTAGTTGAGTATGCACTTCAACCAATACCTCGAGATACGGTGAAATCTGTCTAAGCCGACCGTTCAAGGAACCTTACACAGTGTGATCCCTGGTTATAGGTGGTCTTCTTATCCGGCATCATTTCACTACAAATAACACCCCTTGGTCCAAGTTGTAGTGGTCTTCTTGGACAGGCGGTCATCTTCTCAGAGCGGTCACCTGTCCTAGGAAGGTTTTACTGAACATGAATGTAGACTGTAGCGTGTTAAGTTATGGTTAAGTTAAGGGTTCCAGGTTCAAGGTTCAGGGTTCAGGGTCCAGAGTTCGGGGTTCAAGGGTCTCTCAACTGCATATAAAGTTCACTCATAGTGACTGTTGCAGTTCGCGGCAGCTTGATGACTGGCAATGGTGTCTACCTATATTCCCTTGCAGCTTACCATGAGTTAGAGTAGTGTGCACATGTCCTGCTCCAAGCATCTGCCCCTCGTGCCTCTTCCCAGCACTGTCCGCATACCAAGCAGAGACCAGGACGTAGACGGAGGAGTTGAGCGGTGGATCAGGGATGGTCAATGTGCGTTGGCTTGGCGAGTACAGGCGATGCGACTGCCGGTAATGGTAGAATGAATGGTCCGGTGTGGATGTCGCTGACTGACCTTGGATCTCGTTTGGCATCACATTGGCCCACAACAGAGTGATTCGATAGCCAGATACGGGACTTTGCTGGTACTGTGCCTCGGACCACTCCACCTGCAAGCCATACTCGGGCACAAATCTAACAGCAGCAGCTGATGGTTGAGATGGAACTGCAATGGTGTAACAGAAACAAAACAAGAAACAAGAGTTGTGCATGAGTTGAAGCATTGCTTACAGCAGGTAGCAAGATTCTTAGCATCATTCGTGAACTAGCACTCGGCCTTTACAAATTTCAAGTAGCATAGTTACCAGAAGGGAGAGTGAACGTTGAAACAGATAGCTTCTGCTTGGACACTGGCACAGCAAACTGGCTGTACGCTTCAACGGAGATCTGGAGAACAACAGTCACACAAGAACCACTGGATTTCTGAGCCGAGAAGACTGAAACAGAGCAAAAATGACTGTCCATAAAGATGGAGAAGGCTGAGTACAAGATAGAAGCGATGGAGAGGTGCGACTCGTACAGGAGTACATTTCATACTAGACACTGGAAGCACAGTCATGCCACGCCAACCTTCTATCAGAGTCTTACCTCATACAGTGTGTCTCCCTGTAGATCGGATAGTGTCCAGGTCACCGCCGTCTTGCCAGTAGTGTCCGTAACACTGCTGTTGACTATCTGCCGGTGGTCTGTGAACGTTGAGTTGGAGGAGAGCGACGTGGTGTGAACCAGGAAACTAGCAGGCTGGTAGGGTCGCTGGTGTTCTTGATCCGTTCTCCACTGTACAGTTATGGAGTGAGACGAGCGGGACACGATCTCCAGGCCCACCACCATCAGCACTAATATACATGTGACACACACACACACACACACACACTCACATATATACACACACACACACACACATTAACACATGCGCATCACACATTAACACATGCACGTCATGTGTTTTCACAAAAAGGCTCCATTCAAGCGGTGCCATAATTACGGCAATACGACCGATCAGTATTCACCAAAGACCGATCACTGGAAGGTTGTGAACCCGGTGCCAAGTAACAGATTGACAAGAATCATCAGAGCCCACACACAACTTACAACCTGTACTGTACTTCACCCGCGAATGCAAAGAGAGAACTCTTACGTATTACGAACATGATGGCTCCACACAAAACCAGCACCCGCCAACTAACCTGATGGTGACGTTCTGTGAATTGCAAACATTGTCTGGGGAGACGTCGTTTCATCAGTACTGGTCAGCTGAGCGGACACGTTGTAGAATGTGAATGCTGTCAGATCAACCAAAAGCGCCTGATTGCTCGGCACTTTCACCGAGATAGGGTTAGAGGACTGGCAGTAGACTGCCGAGACGGCCGCGACGTTGGAGCAGTGCTGTGACAGGGCATAGTACGTGACTATGTAGGAGACTCTGGGGCTTGGTAAGCGGTTGGCGGAAGAGTTGCGTATGTGCTCCGGCCAGGTCAGCATCATAGTGGAGTTGGACTGAGAGAGCAGCGTTAGAGGTCCTATCGTGGATTCATCTATCATGAGAAACACACACACACACACACACACACACACACACACACACACGCACACACACACACACACACACAGGCACAGGCACAGAGACTAACATCCATGCCGTTGGGTGAGCTCAGAATGATAGAAGCTGTTGGATATTCGTAAAGCAGATTGGGTAGAAATAAGAAGACTGTCTTCAGAATGAGATGATCACAAAGTATATGAGATCACTAGTACCTTGCGGAGGAAGTTGCAGTTGAGTCTCCTGGCCAAATTCGCCCCAACCAGCTTTCGTTGCCGCCCGAAGTTGAAACACATAAGTGATTCCGGAGGTCATGTCGGTTATGTTCATACTCCAGGTCTGTGCAGAAATGGTCAGTACCCTGTAAGCATCAGCATCAGCAGTGTCTTCTCGATACCTGAGTTGCTGCTCAGTCAATACGCCATTGGACAAGGTGTTTGTCCAGCGCCAGGAGAGGAATGCAGACGTGCCACTGGTCGCTAGCGGTACAAGCACTGGAGCAACAGGATCTGCACAGACACCACATTGAAATCGTTGTTATTAGGTCAGTACCACCATGTGTTCTGTGTGCTGTGTGCTGTGTAGAAGAGAATGTAAGTGAATACAGCACTCATCAACAAGTGCATATTTCTGCTGTGCTCCATTTTCTTAGGCGACATATTCAATCTAATTGGTCAACAGTTTAAAAAAAAAGTAGAACTTCTTGTCTGCCAGCAGAAAGATACTGACACCTCCTCCTTGTATGTATAAATCCCAGTAACGTGTTATCCAGCACAAAATGATATCCCTGGTTTTTTTCTGAGTAATTTGTCTACTTGGATGTAGTTCTGCACAGTTACAGCATCTTGTATTACAGTAAAGAACTAATGATACCCTCAGACACAATGACATGGATCACGTGGTTGTCTACACTGCACCTGAATGCTAACTCACTGCTTTCCGATGTCTCGGCATCCACCGCGGGACTCCAAGGGCCATAGCCAGCTTCCGTAGCAGCTCGAACCCGTGCCAGGTAACCGGTGAAAGGCAGCAAGTTGTTGAATGTCTCTGTAAAGTGGCTACCCTCGATGGCAAACTCCTTTCCCGCGAGTGTTTCAGAAGTGTTCTGCACAGGCCGCAGCATAACCTGGTACCTCAGAATGTGTCCATTTTCAAAGATGCCCTCCATAGCATGCCATCTGACAGTGACGGAGGTTGTGCTTGTAGCAAGTACGGTTAGATTAGGAGGGTATGCCGATGGAACTGCACATGAGCGGAACAGAGACAATACATCCAGAATCTGATCTGATCAACATCTTCTCGGAATAAAAAATAACGATGGTAACGATGGTGTAAACCACTCTTGCAAACATCATAGCTAAGGACTTGCAAATAAGGTGGTACTGTAGAAGCAGAGATATCTGTCAGAAATATAACAAAAATCACGGTTCGTGTCACGTGCAGTCAGTTAGACTGACGTTTCAGCATCTGCTGGAACAGGTACGCCGCCACTCTCAGCTATTGAGGTGCAGGTGCAGGAATATATTATTAATATAATTTTGTCAGACCGGTAATTAACCAAGGTGCTTTCCGACTAATTAAAAAATGTCTGACTAACCACGGCGTGTCCACTCCTTCAAAATATTTTTAAAATGTTCCGGGAATGAATTCCTGAACGAACAGACTGAATTTCTCAGGAGTTGGACAAAAGTTGGACTTTTCAGCATCTGCAGGAACGCCGCCACTCTCAGCTATTGAGGTGCAGGTGCAGGAATATAATGTTATTTTGTCAGACCGGCAATTAACCAAGGTGCTTTCCGACTAATTAAAAAGGACGGACTAACCACGGCGTGTCCACTCCTTCAAAATATTTTTAAAATGTTCCGGGAATGAATTCCTGAACGAACAGACTGAATTTCTCAGGAGTTGGACAAAAGTTGGACTTTTCAGCATCTGCAGGAACGCCGCCACTCTCAGCTATTGAGGTGCAGGTGCAGGAATATAATGTAATTTTGTCAGACCGGCAATTAACCAAGGTGCTTTCCGACTAATTAAAAAGGACGGACTAACCACGGCGTGTCCACTCCTTCAAAATATTTTTAAAATGTTCCGGGAATGAATTCCTGAACGAACAGACTGAATTTCTCAGGAGTTGGACAAAAGTTGGACTTTTCAGCATCTGCAGGAACGCCGCCACTCTCAGCTATTGAGGTGCAGGTGCAGGAATATAATGTAATTTTGTCAGACCGGCAATTAACCAAGGTGCTTTCCGACTAATTAAAAAGGACGGACTAACCACGGCCGTACGGCGTGTCCACTCCTTCAATATACTTTTTAAATATTCCGGGGATGAATTTCTGAGCGAACACACTGAATTTCTCAGGAGTTGGACAGAAGTATTCTCCTATTGAATTCTCTGCTGGAACTTGTCCAGGAACTACTGGTAGAGTGTTCCGTGTGCGAAGCACAGAGCCATGATAGTTTCATGTGGATCCTTTCTTGGGATGTGTATGAGCCTGGAAATTGCACACTCTGTGCTAGCTTAGCTAGCACACGGTTTAGTTATTATGAAAATGTAATGTTGATAATTCCGAGGACAGGATAATGCACTTACCACTTGCTTCTGTGCTGAAGACCAGCGGTGTAGAGCGTGGACCTTCTCCGATGCGCGTCAATGCGGATATGCTGAATTGGTACACCTTTCCAGGTATGAGGCCCGTATAGCTCCATGTCATGTCAGACATATTGGATAGGACTGTGACAATCGAAAAGAGAAAAAAAGACTCAAAAATGCTCGAAAATTGGAACAATGGGTTTGAAAAAGAGATTTGGTCCAGACTATAGTTAGGGGAGACTGAGAGTAACGATGGTGTAAACCACTCTTGGCACGAATAACGCTTTTAAAAGACAAAATGCGTGCTAACTCAAAAGAAAGTTCAGCCTGGAATGCATGTATTATGCTGGGCAAATTTCCGCTAGCATAAAGCCATATTGGCGGAGCACAAGGAACACATTTCCAGAAAGAGAAGCAGGAGTTACTGACCGTAATGGGATACGGATTCAAGTGAGTTATCACCCGAATGGTTGCCACTGCCATTTGCACTGATCCCAAGATAGAAGTGGTACGCAATGATGACTCCATTCTGCTCAATCAGTGACGGTGGTTGCCAGGATACGGTTACGCCAGTTTCGGTTATACCATCTGCCTGCACGCTCTGAGGTGCCGCTTCTGGAACTGGACAGGTGCAGAGGAGAACATATCATTGTGCAGGATGAGCATACAAGTCAGACAGTGAGATCACATGACAGTCATGATGCGGCATCATTGTAAAAGGCTTCCCTTATCTCCCCTGATCCAGCATTCTCATCTACCGGGCAACTTTCTGACCCACAATTTTGGCTTTTTAACAGAAAATGGTGCCAACAAAATTTAACATTGATTGGCATTTCATATTGGTTACTAGCATGAAATCAGTCTGTATGTTCTGAGTTTCAGTCTGTATGTTCTGCATGAAATCAGTCTGTATGTTCTGAGTTTAAATCAGTGTGTATGTTCTGAGTTTCAGTCTGTATGTTCTGAGTTTCGGGCGATGCCTAGTTACGCGGGGCAGTGCCCAGTTACAATGTGCCCACGTAAGTGTAGGTCTACTGTATGTTTTGCTGGGTAAAGACAAGGCCAACTCTGACCATGGGGCAAAGGTCCGTAGAACAGTGGTACCTGCACATGTACATGCACGTGAAATCTGCAGCCTCGAGTTCTGCAGGCCAGTTGCATGAGGCGGTTACCATGGTTACCAGGCTTTTCCCCAGAACTACATTGTACGCTTTCAGCATATTTGACTGCAGCTGAGCAAAGGTATACTATTGGAGTGCAGAGACTGGTTCAATCTTGATTGAAGAATGTTAATCGTATTATCCTTGCTGCTGTCTGCAGCGTGATGCAGCCTGATGCCCATGTAAGTTTCTGCGTGCAAAGATTTACGGGCCACTCCCTGGCTCGCAACCTCCTTCAAAGTTATAAAAGAAAAGAAAAAAAGTGATGTGAGCTTACCATCTTCCTGCGTTACAATGATATGTATATCACTGTAGCGCACACCATTCATTTGTAACACCTGGACAGCGTAGCGTTGATATTCGTCCAGACCGAACAGTGTGACTTGGCCACCTTCAGGCATGGCATGATGCTGACATGACTCTGTCCGCTGCTGTGCATTGATGGCACACACAACAGCTATCAAGTGCAGGGGTGTGCTGTGGCTGGTATTGTGCTGGTGTCCAGCATCGTTCAGAACAGCCGCAGCGCTTGGCATAATGTGCTCCTGCACTGCACTCAGGTTGACTAGTACTATCAGCATTGTACTGCTGGGGCTAGTAACAATCACAGGCAGCGGTAAAGCATCATCTTCCGGTAAGTCCTTGACAGTCACCTGCATCACAGCGCTATGCTCAAGACCGGCACGATTGAGCAGGGTATAGCTGAACGTCATCTCCAACGGTGCCTCTATTATGCTAGTCGACTCTGTTGTAGGGAGATCAACCAACACGGTGTCATTGTCACTGTCAGGAGAGGTACCATTCAGGCCATCAATGCTGTCCGTTGGTTCAGTAGGCACAAGCCTATTGCTCAACGGGATCTCGAACGTTCCTCTAGCATAGTGCAGCTGACACGATGCGCCGTCCAGCGGACAAGAGCAGCCGGATGTAAGGTTGCACATGATCTGAGCACAACGGGGAGACATTATTGAACAGAGCGATAAGCTAACGGCAAAAGTGACAAACTGTACACAAGCAAACTTACTGTGTCACATGCCAATTCAGTGCCCTCAACTCTACCAGAGCTTTGCTGTAGTTACTGGGAAATGGGGGAAAGTAAGCATGCAGCTTTAAAGCATTGGTAGAATACGGCATGTAGCTTTATAAAAAAAAGAGCTACATCTGCATGGCTACATCAGTATATACTGGATACTCCCAAACTAGGAACTCATCCAAGTAGGTTTACTGTAATAAATATTATAGCACTGGGATAACAGCTGTATGTGTGCAATCTGGAACACTTGAAAGTATTCATGAACGAAAGCAGTGTAGCAAGGTGGATGGTGCATTGAAAAGGCCTGCGCCGCAGAGGAGACCCTGGTTTCCTACAGGACGTTTGGGTGTTTGTTTACTGAGCTCCGGGATGCAACTTACCGCAGGAATTGCCCCCCCCCCCCCCCCCCTCCCCACCTCACATACACGCCTTCACCTCCCCTCTGTACTTTCTTTTAAAACAGACAATGTCTTGTGTGGTGTTGGTGGCTGAAAACAAGTACTATGTACTATGTAAGTCGGATGGTGATAATCCGATAATCCGATAATCCGATAATCCGATAATCCGATAATCCGATAATCCGATAATCCGATAATCCGATAATCCGATGGTCATAACTCGTAACATTTTGTCCTTCTTCTTTTCACAATAATTATGTACTATGTACATGTGCTGTTTACCTGGGATATGGCACTGTATGGCAGTGGCAGGTCAAGTGACGCACTCCATTCCGTGTCTAGTGATGATTCCACTGTCACCTGTACCTGCTCCATGCCACTCTCTTCATCCGCAGTCGACATCTCCAGCAGCACTAGCCGTGTATTATGCCGATACCTGACACCTGCTAGATTCCCCACGTAGGATTCATCCTCTCCCATGTCGAGACCTTCGACCAATAGATGGCTACTGACGCCTGTGTATGCATGTAATGACATCATCACAGGCGGACTAAGGTCCACATAGGCAGACACGGAGGAGGACTTGGTTGCACCGAGAATGCCTCCAGCGAAGATCGCAATGTGCAGCTCTGCACCTGGCATGAGCAGCTCAGGATAGTCGAATGATACACGCTGAGCGAGCTTTGGCCGAACTCGACCATCCCTGCACTTCTGCTTGCCGTCCACAGTGGCGCATGCTACGTAGTTAAATGATATCACGCCACGCAGATTCTTCGTACCGTGAATGGACAGTTGTCCAAACGTCTGGTCGTAAATATCTAACAGGCCAGGAATCCCCTCGACCGGTAGCAGGTAGTGGCTGTGCTCTGATATGAAGCTGTTCAGGAAATGATCTTTCCACGTGACCTCAATGGGCGACTTGGAGCTCTTCCACGTCTTGTTATGAAGTGAGGTGATCTGCACTGGGTTAGAGTCCAGGGTCTGTATCTGTGCGGCACTGTAGTCAGCCACCAGGACTAGCTGCCTAGCGAGCTGCGTGGCATTGCTAGCAGTGACAACGGTCAGCACAAATGAATAGATGCCCTGCCGCAGGTAGACAGTGAAGGCATCGCGTGGCGGTGCGTAGAAGTCGAGTTCGAAGATCGGGCCCGGCGCCAGCACAAGCTTGTCGGTGGCTTGGTCGAAGAGCATGGGAAAATACTCAAAATGGTAACCGACTATATCGCCTCGCCAGCCGCTCCAATACGTGCGTATAGCTGCTGTAAACTGTCCTGGCAGTATGATAGCTATGCTTGGCGTGGCAGTCAGAGCACTGGGGACAAGCAGACCATCTGCTAGCGCACAGCCTGGCAAGTCGGACGTGGGCGGCCGCGAGCAATGGTACGCTGGCTGACCTCGTTCCGATGTCGGTGGTAGGTCTGTAGTAGCTGGTGATGTGCTCTTGACCGGCTCGGGTACAGCGGCTCGGACTGGAGAGCTGGTTATCCGCGCAGACATCAGCTCACTTTGAGCAGTAGGAGGGGTTTCAGTGGCAAGAGTGTGTGCTGCTGGAACCCCTGTCATTGGATCTGTATGCCCGGACGTGCCTTGAGCTTGTGTCCTTACAGGCTGCTGCACAGTGGTCTGCTCCGCTTGTGTTGGACGCACCATTGGTCTTGACTTGCCAGTCTGAGCTGGTGTTGAGTGTGTATCTTCTGCAAGAACGCCCTGCTTAGGATCTACGGTAACCTGACCGGCAATAGTTGGATAGCTAGTGGCTGTGATGGCAGGCACTGGCACATGGATGCGTGTAGGTGTTTCGTGTAGAGGAGCAGTGAGAGCATGCCCTGGCATGGGAATCTCTTCTGATGTAGGTGAGCTAGTAGGATGAGACTCCGGCACAGCTGTTGTTGTAAGTGGTTGGATTCTTGCAGCGCCAGCCACACTGCTGACAGGATCGGGACTAGCAGCATACTGCGTGCCTGAGTTTGCGACCGCCGGTTGCGTCAGCGGCTGAAGTGCAGTGTTGGCGATATTAGCGACGGGTGCAGAGCTTGCAGGCTCCTCAGACACACAGCCTAGGTCAACGGGTCTGATGTGAATTACACTGTGCACACACAAACACACACAAACACACACAAACACACACACACAGACACACACAAACACACACACACAGACACACACACACACAAACACACACACAAACACGCACACAAACACACACACAAACACACACACACACAAACACACACACACACACAAACACACACACACACACACACACACACACACACAAACACACACACACAAACACACACACAACATAGAGGTTACTGGCACTGTACATGCAGGGTTGGTTGGCTTGCAGGCCATGGACTATGGACCATGGACTATCTTCAAAAACTGGAAGGTGGTGCTCAGAAATCTGCACCTCGAAGCCATAGAAACGATTGTTGAAATCTCAAATCCCAGATTGGGCGGTGTTATCCAGTCATCTTTGCCTGTCCTTCTTAATCTGAACTGTCTTACGGACGAGTTACTGAACCCAGCTTACCACAGACAAGCGCTGGCATATCTCATGCAAGTTGAAGGCAACAACACAATGTCATGTAGAGGTCCTGGCTACCACGCATCTCACAATGACTGGCATCATCATCACTAACATGACTGTATTGCAGAGAATGGTGCTGGCAATAAGAGACAGGCAGTGACAGCCACACAACACATCATTGCAACTGCTTCTACATAGTGGATAGCTATACTATAGCTCTCCACTGCCCCCCCCCCCCCCCCCCCCCCCCCAGGCCCACACACACACACACTACAGCATTGTACTCTACCCATGACCAGATGACCATCTCTTACAAACACACACTCAGTGGTGGGATTCACAACGCAACAATTTCAAACCCATAGCTGTCGATTAAAACATCACGACAATATTGGAGAGACGGTCTGCGTTGAACTAGAGGTACGGGTACGGGCACCTACCCTGGTGCCTGCTGTAGGTCTGCGTCGTGACCAAGCTGCCACGGAACGAAGGACACGCTGGGCGCCTCGCCAATGCACTCGAACTCAACGTGCAGACTTGCTACAAAGCCGATGAGAGTATCGGGGCCTAGCAACACTGGCGGCTGCTGCTCTCCTGTGAGCGGGGAAATCAGACCAAGCCACAGCAGGCATCATACTTGTAAAACAAAACATACTGGTTAAAAGCACATGTCATGGAATGCATATTCGGGACCAATATCAGCCCCCACAATGCTTCAGTCTCTGTGTATTGATTACTAAGCTTGTATGCGGGATCACAAGGCTTATCTACGGATCCAAAAAGTGTTGAATAATTACTCCGCTGTACAATGCTTGCATCTCCTCTCCTGGAGATGGAAATAATCTAATCTAATCTTCATTCGAACTGGGAATCGAACTCACAACCTCGTATTCGGCAACGCTCTGCAACCACTAATGGCACTATGCCAACCACGCACCTCGGGAGGTCCACTCTGGGATTGGGTACCGGACTTCGGTTGGGGAGGGGGGGGGGCAAAGGCGGCGAGGAAGGGGAGATCATGAGCACCACCCTCCCTATGTCGAGCTCATTGAAACAGGTCTCTAATGGTCCAGCCAAGACACCACATACTAACAAATCAGTCATGAGAATTCTTCTCTACACTGGAATATGGCATGTGTAGCTCTACACTGGAATATGGCATGTGTAGCTGAGAGAACAGTAGAATGCCGATTCTCCGAACGCCAACTATTCGAATGATCATTATCCGAAACGCCTGTTTGCACTGGATTTTAGGGATAAAAATGAGTTTTTGCTGATTTTCTCCACCCAAAGCACCTTTAAAATGGTGCACAGGATACATGGCAACATTGTGGGGTTCAAATGGGCACCCAAAGTGTCATTTTGAGGAGATTGAGTGCGTCTAATTCCTGTAATATGGTTCAAGAGAATGAGAAATGATGAGGGCGCGAGGGGATATACACATTTTAGATGAATGTGTGACTGCTCCCTTATCCGAACACGCTCCTCATCCGAACCCCTCGGAGTCAGCCCCGCGCATCGAGAGGTACGGATAATGGCACTCCGACTACTGTATGCATCCAATTAATGACGCACTGCATGCTCCAGCAAAATACACACCTGGCTCCAGGAAGACATCGGTGTTCTCACTCCCAGCGTAAGCTGCCTGCCAAGACCCGGTACTGGCAGACACCGACGTCACGGCTATACCAAAGTGCTCAATGTCGAACAGCGTCAGCTCTGCAGGTGCACTACTGCTTGCTATCTTGGGCTGCCCCGGGCCGGTAGTAGCATTGTCGCCTGGTGAACGTGCAGCTTGGCCCAATGCGGCAGAGCTTGTCGAAAAGGACAGCAAGGAGGATATCTGCAGGAGACAGAGTAGATTGTGAAGAATGCAGTGAATTCAATGTTACAAATGCAATGTACTGGTAATGGGTGACGGTGCTAATGCCTGGACGGCAACACTGGAGTATCCACCATTGCGAGTTGGGTGAAAACGTATTTTCCGGAGTAAAAGCTCGACCCCCCCTCCATTTTTTTTGCCACGAAATACAGATATCTATCCTATTTATCACCGTTAATTTGATGATCGGAGTATAAGCCCTTTTTTGGGTGAATTTTGAGTGTTCAAAGTGCCGCCTATACTCCAGAAAATGCAGTACGGAACTTACACTGGAGAATGTTGACGGTAGAAACTCGATGTCAGCAGCCAGGTGAATTGGAGTATGGTCGGATGGAGTTGCACTGTGGAGTGAAAGCAGAACAGATGGAATAAACAGAACATAAGTTATTCACATCCACTGAACACTTTCAGTGTAACGCTGTAAAGTGTAAGTGCAGGGGTGTTGGACGGTATTTTGGGTGGTATGGTCAACTATATCAGGCTAACCTTTAGTAGAATACCATTGTGCCTTTCAGAATTTTTCAATACCGCAGCAAGCGTAGCATGTCCAACGCCCTGTTGTGTCATGAAAACTAATCTAAAGCATATTGGGACTGGCAATAGTGGCAAGTCGACGCACATACACCTGATTCGGGGAAGGGGTGGGGGCTTTACCACTACAATGCCAATAGCAACTTCAGTTGGCATTCAACGACAAAATGAGTGGAAATCAAAACTCCACATGGAGCACTGATCTTGCGACTGAAGAAGTGTGCACTCGGATCAGCGAGGCGTTCTGCAGAGCTCTTATAAATGCTAGAGCCCAAAAAGGAAGCAACGTTTGACTTGTGCTCGCTGTCCTGCACTTGTAAGTTGTATGAATGTGTGTGTAGGGTATCCAGTGACTCATTTTCCCATGGTAACAATCAGAGCAGTTCTATTCCCACATGATCCACTCACAAGGATAGAGTGTGATGTGCACAGCTACAGTTATCGCTGGTGCTCTGGGAGACAGCGATGAACTCGAGGGAAGTGGACTGAATATCACCAATGGCAGATGAATCTAGAAAGTGAAGTCGAAGCCAGTCAAGCTGACCAAGTTGCACAGACTCGGCTGCTGTGACATCTGCAACAGTGTGGGAGAAAAACATGTGCACATGATCAAAGCTGATAGAACAGAAGCATTGCAAGCCAGGTCTTTCTGATGAGTCCGATATTCAGTACAATCACTTTGTGAGTACAGCGATTTCCTCTCTTGGCTTTTCTGGAGCACAATATTATCACAGCAAAAGTTCATGTTCCATGGGCTAGACTGAGCATACGCTCATGCACACACACACACACGCACACACGCACACACACACACACACACACACACACACACACACACACACACACACACACAGAACATACGCACACATGCACACACCGCTGTGGAAATGCACTGCACTGTGGTCACCCACCACTTGGCTAGGCTTCTCAGAGATCCGAGCACATGCCTGTGTACGCGCCCTGCATCGCCAGTACACAGTCCAGTGCCTGGCAGTAGTTGTAACCAGATGTTGCTCAGCGACACTTCACTGCAAGAAATGGTTCTAAGGTGGATGCACCAGTACTGCATGTACTATGATTCTACTTACTTCTAGGAACGCTTTCGTAGGTGCCGTTTGCCGTAAACCACCATTCTGCTGTGCCGTCATTCTCCTCACGACGCCAGGACACATTAGCAGCAACAAGGTAGATTAGACGTGTCTCTTCGCTCAACGTGAGTATCGTGCCAACCTGCAGGCAAGAACATAACAAGGATTGTGATTCGCATACGAAAGCAAACAGAAGTTGTGCCTGACGCCAAACATTTTTATGAATGCATTGCTGTATGTTCTTAGCATAGGGCTTGGGAATTTGGAAACGACTGTTACATGATTGTACTGGACGTTGGAGAGGAACGTGACCATTACAAATTATTTTAAAAGAACTGTGCCACCCTTCTACTCGCAAAGTAAAAACGTAGAAGGCCGAGGATGATTCCGGCTGTAGCTGCCAAAATAATTCACTGATGATAGCCCTCCTCAGTCCTCACCCACCAAAACCTCTGCGGTTTGCCACTGGCTAGCCCAGCGCCATAACAAATAATTTGTCAATGCCCAACGGTGCTGTTACACTGCTAGTCTGTACTCCAACAGTAGAGTACAGTACTGATATGAAAAGAAAGCTGCGTAACTATTACCTACTTGATTGTTCCGACTTTAGACCTATAATCGTTCAGATAGACATTCATGACCTAGCGCCCATCTTCTCCCAACCTCCAATATCCGGAAGAAGAAAATTGTATCAGGAGATCCTCGCAAGTAATTGAGTTTGTCAAGACGATGACTACTTGTATAATTATTTTGTTTGGCGGGGAGCCGCTGAACCGGTCCAAACACGACTCCAGTCAGACTGAACACACGTCTAAAGTGACGAGCTTGGTGTTCGCGAAGAAGGTAATAGTCATGACAGGAGCCACGGTACACGCAGGAAACGTTCAGCAAATCAGAGGGTAAGAGATCCACATGCTCCACGCTGCTACGCTCGAACCGGCCAAAGAATTATTTGCCACCTCTCGAACCCGACAGGTGCAAGATAGTAAGTAGTTAGAGCTACAAATGAAGTCTAGACTCTAGTGACGACTCTTCGCAGTTTGTCTTACCTGGTGCGCTTGAAAGGCTTGCCAGAGGTCGAGCTCTCCGAACGATTGGTTTTCCAGCGCCGCACCAGCATCGCAGTCCCCGAGAGAGCATGCCAAACACGCTCCTGGCCGTGGTTGTGAGAAACACAGCACCAAAAGCACGAGCACCAGCTGCTGCAGTGCAACCGAAAGTCTGCGTCCTCCTGACCACCACTTGGTCGCGCCAGCTTTATAGTCACACCTCCGTATGGCACGAGGTAGCAGCTCCCAAATCACCATCATGCATCAAGCCCAGTCGGGCCAGTGCCATGCCAGTGGAGAACTGTCTGTGCCTGTGGCTCCCCAGAGACAGCTCGTGAACTATCCTGGACTTGTCTCAGCCGCCATGACTTGATTCACAGCCAACACACCGAGCTAGAATTATACTAGAAAGGTCCAAGAGACTCACAACGTCTTGCAAGGACTTCCAAGTCGCTGACCAGGACCTCCGGCACCCTACAACAGATACTGCAAACCTCCAGGCATGGCAGAGTTCAGACATACCGGGTAGAGTCATGGACTCATAGACACATCCTTTTGTCTTAGCATGGTGACCAGCATTCGTAGATCTACACATGGATGATGGCTGTCAGGATTGTATCCACATGATCTTTGTCATTGACGAAGGTGCTGGCGTTCCATGCACCAGTACTTGGCTACATGGTCGGCCTGCGGCCGTGATGGAGCCGCTAAACCGCTCTACCTAATGGCAATGCTGGGATATAGGGGTACCGGGGTGTTGGGCATGAGAAAGTGCTACGGTAGCGGTTAGCTACATCATAACACATACCAATAGCTATGTACTATGTAGATACACGACTAGTCGACTGTGCTCGCTGTGTGCTGCTAGCATGCTGAGTGCTGGCGTCTTGGAACGTTTTTGCCAGCTACACGACTGTCGATGGTGTACGCGATATGACTTCCACCCCGGCACGGCGATAGATCTACGCCATGCAATGGCATTGACTGGGGTAGAGGGACCCATACTGATACCATCACCGAGGTGAGAATTGCCGGTGCATCACTGCCATCAGTCATTGTGTTGTTGGTTGTTTGAACAAAACAAGGTGTATCTAACACCATAAGCCAGTGTGCGTCAGGACAGACAGTGTACATGTACATCCATATAAAAATCGCTCTGTGAGCGGTTCTGAAAAACCTTTACTGGTACTGCCCCGTCGTAAAAGTAAGAAATTAGAACTGGCCCATTGTCCCCCCAAATGCGAACTGATCCACCTAAATCGCGAATGACGGGACCCGAACGCACCAGTAGCACGAGGTCGGGAGGGCACAGGATCACGGCAATTATCATAGGCAGTAGAATTTATTATTTTGATAGGGAAGCCTACCGCTAGTACAGTACATGGCCTATGGTCCGGACCAACGTCCGCATCTGCATCCACAGGTAGGAACCTCGTGCTACTGGTGCGTTCGGGTCCCGTCATTCGCGATTTAGGTGGATCAGTTCGCATTTGGGGGGACAATGGGCCAGTTCTAATTTCTTACTTTTACGACGGGGCAGTACCAGTAAAGGTTTTTCAGAACCGCTCACAGAGCGATTTTTATATGGATAATTTCAGCTCTTTTTCTGTTCCCTCCCCACCCCAACCCCGAAGGTAAACATGATGACCACGCGCGCGATGTACTGTATGTAGCCATGCGACTGCAATAACACACTGATACATACCAGCCCTCCCCGCCTCGCTACCCCGCACACAGATACACAAACATGTGTATGCACACGGCACACACACGTGGCCACGCACACATACGCACATGCACACGACACAAACAGGAAATTCTTCATGTATAATGCCATGCAAAGCAGTGGCCACCGTACTTGAGGAAGTCAGTTGAGAAACAAAAATAATTCAACTACAGCGTGTAGACAAGCTGACGGCCAAAGCACAACATAGCAAACATGACATTTGCCCAAGGATTGCAGTTTGCAGACCATGGAAGCAGCGAATACAGAATGTAATATCATACAAAGTGACAAGCAAGGACGTGGCCATCATACACCAGAAACTTGCAGAAAGTCACATCCAACAGATAGAGAAGTGAACAGCAATCTGATACAGCCCACACAGGACAAAGCGGGCCTGATACTCGTCCTAGGATCGCAAGTGGCAAACCCTTTTCAATGCATAACATGCAGGTGTACGTTAGACGCATGAACATCTGACCGTGTCGCCAGCATACAATGTCATCACATGTTTACCCCACAAGTTACACACATGCACAGTAGAAGCACAATGAAAGCAATGGAAAAGTACGATGTGGTTGCTGAAGCATCTTCACACTTCAAATTCAGACTTCAATGTGGTCGTCATGGGATGATATACCTGCAAGATACAAGTGATGAAGAAAGAAAGCAGAAGGTCGTGAGGTAGGCTATGAGACACCACAAACGGTTCACCTACATGTCTGTTCAGGGCTAGTGCATTCACACGGAGAATTGTCGTAATCGAGCATTTCCCAAACTGAGAAGTGCAATGAAATCCACTTGCATGCACAGGAGCAATTTTGCAATTATTATGATGCGCAATTCGACACGATCTGCGATGCTGCGTGCGATGTGCCCTGCTGTCATGATAGTGACAGTCACCGCGGTATGTTTTGTCAACGTCGCCCGTGCACTCTTCTGTCAAGTCCAAAGTGCTCACATACTTGGCAATGTTTTTGCAGTGATTAACTTTTATCCTAGTTATGTCACGGGTAACTTTAATGAAGTACCCGCAGGCCGTGTCGATCTGCACATCGTCCACTCTCTCATGTACTTGGCCTGCTTTGTCTGTGTATCCATTTCATGTGCGATCCACAAAATCGACTAGACAGTGGGTGCAATACGCTCTCTACCTGAAGACGTTCTTCTGGCGACATCTCGCCATGTACTTGGCCTGGCTTTGTCTGTGTATCCATTTCATGTTCGATCAACAAAATCTCAATGCACTACAGAGACCAGACAGTGGGTGCAATACGCTCTCTATCTGAAGACGTGAACCATTAAATTTTTTGGAAAAGTTATACGTACACCTGAAACGTAATGAAGTACAGGAATAGAGAGAGTGACTACAATACGCTCTCGACCTGATATAGTGATAACGTGAGTACAAGACACTCTCCACCTGATAACGTGTTAGAAGGTTGTTAGCATGTCTACAGTCCCACCGTACCCTTCCGACACGACTGTAGACCATTAATTTTGAGAAGTTATACGTACACCTTAAACGTAATGAAGTACAGGAATAGAGAGAGTGACTACAATACGCTCTCGACCTGATAACGTGAGTACAAGACACTCTCCACCTGTGGTTAGTAGAAGGTAACAGGTCTACAGTCCCACCGTACCCTTCATCATTCCTCATTCACCATCGCGCGATACCCTGGCACACACTGGCAACATATCAATGGGGTGCCTTACCCTTGTCTAGAGGAGACGTCTTCGCAGCAATATTTTCCCTCCTGCGCATTCAGTCACCGACGCGACAGCGTTCACAGGGCCGTTCCAGTTGCGGAAGACATTCGATTCATCGGGCCAATTCAGCAACAGGGCCGTGGACACACAGGGGGCAGAGGAGAGACATTGTTAGTGGACAAGAAATATGCAGTGGCAAGTGGCGAGTGCCGCATGGATGTCAAGTTGTCATGCACAATTCAGCTATTACTTACGGTCCAGCTAGTCCTGCCATTGCTCGCTCGTCCTGGTTCCTCCTCGTTCGTCTTCCTGCACGTCTGCACTTCTCCTTCCCCACCGTTGGCTTTGCGGTACGGGGGTGCCGGAAGGAATTCCCACCATGTATCCATGTACATGAAGTCCCACCATGACTCTCCATGCACATGCCCACGGCCACGTCAGCAGTTTGTATAGTACCGGAAGGAGTTCCCACGATGTCTCCAAAGGCCTAGAGCGGACGTCTTTGCAGCAATTCTTTTCGCCCTGCGCATTCAGTTCGCCGACGATGTCTCCAAAGGCAAAGGCCTAGAGCCTAGTAGAGGGGACGGACGTCTTTGCAGCAATTCTTTTCACCCTAGTACCCTGCACATTCACTCCGCCGACACGACAGCGTTTACGGGGCCGTTCCAGGTGCAAAAGGTCCACGTCAGCAGTTCTCAACTATTTCGCGTACGGGATAGTCGCCGCGACAGCGTTTAAGGGGTCGTTCCAGGTGCAAAAGGTATCCATCAATGGCACTTTGCAGTATGGGGTACGGAAAAGGGGCCTCCTCGTTCGACTTCGTCGACTTCTGCAGTTCTCCTTCCCGTCAGGGGTACCGAAAGGGGCCTCCTCGCAGTTGTCCTTGCCGTCAGGTCCACGTCATGCAATTCTCAACTATTTCGCGTACGGGATAGTTGTCTTTGTCGTACGCGACATCGGCGTTTACCGAGTGGCATTGGCACAAAGCAGACCGTTGACGGGGTCACGTGTCAAAAAAGTATCAACAACGTGTTGACTACGTGTCGACCACGTGTATAGCGGTACACTCAGCGGTACACTAATTCTCGTGCCATTCTCGTGTCACAAAACTGGAACATCGAGTACCAGTATGGAAAGGCTTCAGACAGGAAGCCTTTCCAATGTATGTATAGCGTAATAGTAAAACGCAGGCTATAGTATAGTATAGTATAGAGCTTCCTGGTGGCTATATTCCTGGTTTACAATAGAGTGATAAGCATCGGCTGACTCCTTCTTTTCACCTCCCATGTAAAATTGACACCATCCACGCCACGTCTCACACTATGCTACTAGCATGGGTGTAAGTAAGACAGTTAGTTTGTAGCCAGATGATGCAGAGATTATCAGCTGTCTGAGGATTGCCTTGGCTTTGCTATAGCATAACGTTATGCATGAAACGCAGCGTTACAACAATAACCTAGCACCCGACCGTTGTCTCTGTTCTCTCTGCCTTTGTAGTGACTGTGAGCTAGTAGTAGTATCTACAGCAAATGTATCTGTGCATGTACACTAATATTCTATTGTATACATGCGTGTCTTGTGTGTGCGTGTCGTTGTGTCTCTGTCAGTCTGTGTGGGTGTGTCTGTGCGAGCGCGCGCGCGCGCGCGTGTGTGTACTTGTGTGTAGGGAGGGGAACCTTTGGCTCTTACTTTCATGGGTACCGTGGTGAACTATTTCATACACATAGGCCTTTGGTCAGCTGAGCTGGCTAGAGATCACCGTGAAGCGGCACTAAAATGTCATCCATTCTCTCTCTCTCTCTCTCTCTCTCTCTCTCTCTCTCTCTCTCTCTCTCTCTCTCTCTCTCTCTCTCTCTCTCTCTCTCTCTCTCTCTCTCTCTCTCTCTCTCTCTCTCTCTCTCTCTCTCTCTCTCTCTCTCTCTCTCTCTCTCTCTCTCTCTCTCTCTCTCTCTCTCTCTCTCTCTCTCTCTCTCTCTCT